TGCTGCAGCTCAGGAACACTCATGCCTTTTAGTAACATGTGTTTGTCAGAAGAGGTTCTACCAGACTCCTCCTGATGTTCAACTGAATTGTGCAATCTGTGAGGACTTCCTGTCAGACAGCCTTTAGTCAGCCAGCCCTTTGGATTCCACATCAAAATACAATCTGAGATTGACTGGGCTGTTTGCATATTGACTTAGTTACCACAATACTATCAGAACAGGTGGATGTTTATATTCGTGAGTCTACAGAATTTACAGAGACTCAGCAGCCAATCGCCACTTATTCTTTGTCCCTAATAATTAATTATATCAAGTCATTAGCCAGTTGGTGTTCAGTTTCTGAACCAGGAACAAGTGCCTCATCCCATAAACCTCTGTTTCATACCAAAATAACCACCCCCTTCCCTTTCTTAAAAAAATAAAGCAGAAAATGAATAATCCTTTGAATTTGAAATGAATTTCTGTGGGAGTAGTACTGCCACACCTGCTTATGCTAGTTTGTACTTTTGAGTTGTTTTACTGCTGGACACTGCTTCCAATCATAATGTATTACCAATAAAGGAAGGAATGGTTAATGGGAAAACTTCCTTTTTGGGATATCACGAATCAAACTTCTCTTGGAAATTCTACCCTGATAATTTAGGCTGGTTTGAAATAGTAATCTGAAATCAGCGTGAACAACTCTCTTACTGGATATATTAAAATATAAGAAATAAAGTGTAGATAGGACATAAATAGGAGCACCAGCTTTGCATCTATCCAGCATCTATTACATACTTATAGTACACTAGCTGAAATGCAAGATCCCAGAAGGATCAAGATTTAATATTATAATGGTGAAATTTCCCAAAGTAGCCTATGGGGATAATGATAATTATTGCTGATTCCTTCACCTTGTGGCCTCCAGATCTCTTGTTGCTGCTGCTGCTACTGTTGCTTCAGTTTGAGCCCCTGCTTCAGGTCTTATGGACAGTCGTTCAAAGCACAACCAGGATGTGGGTAACTTCTGACTGGCTCAGGAAGATTCTTAACTGATGCAATAGATTAGTTGTGCAAATCATATTATTTGCCACTAGTGTTACCAAGAAACCCAGAGACAAATGAGTTCCAAACTGTTAATCTCTCTTCCAAAAAGGATGAACTCCATATAGGAAAAACTAAGCTGCCAAGTCTGTTTTCCTAATAACCAATAGCACCTCTGTTTTGTCTGGATTTAAGTTCAACTTGTTCATTCTCATCTAGCCCATTACTGAACATAAGAAATGGTCAAAAGGATGGTTTTCATTTTCTTGGGAATTGGGTTACAAAGAGCAATAGCTGACATGTTTTTGATATTCCATTCCAAAGTGCTGGACTGTCTCCCAGATGTAAATATTAAACAGGGTAGGCAACAGAATGTGATGATCACTATAAGACAGCAAGTATTAAATATTAGTCCCTCCCAAATCAGCTTCTGGACATGATTTGAAAGGATAAACCAGAAGTGATTCAAAAAAGCATCCCTAAGATATAACATTACCCAGGCTATAGTTAAATGTTAACAGCTGCAAAAGATTCAAGAGGAGGAATGGTTGTTTGTTGTTCAGCAAACCCATTGTCCACAATGGGCAGTTTTTGCCAAAAACCTGAAGTAAATGCCAGTTTCTGGCAAAAAAAAAAAGAGTCGTAAATCATGTCCACAATACTGCAGGATGCTGCAAATGGCTGTAAATATGGGCCAGTTGATGAGCATTCCAAAGGCAATCACGTGACCGCAGGGTAAATCCAGTCAGTGGAACTTTGAATCCAGCTTGTAAGTACCTATTTTGGGGGTCCTTTGAAACTTTGAATGGTTGCCAAGCAAATGGTTGAAGGGACTACCTGTATCAAGGAATGGAATTCACCATGCGGTGCTTTCACCTTTCCAGAAAATTCATTCATAGCCTCAAAAAATACAATCTGAAAAGCATATAAAATAAGCTTCTAAAAGGAAAACTGTCCCAACACTGAATCCAAACTGATCTGATTGACTTTATTGATAAAAAAATTTTTTACAGATCGCAAACTCCATTCACAATTCACACTATCACATCTGGCATCCAAACTAGAGAGAATTACAAGTTTTGTTTCCTTTCCTTGTTACTATTTCTACCTCTCTTTTAATTGTTCTGTTTGGCACACATTTTCTAAATTTCTGTGAATTATATGGAACTGAAAATGAAAGTTTCACAATCACTGTATTTAAAAGCAGAAGTTAGTATGGATGTCAAGCTGCAGAAATGAAACTTGGAAAGTATGAAACGAATACCATCAATCTGTATTTACTTAATCACTCATACAGGTGGCCTTGAGGCTACAACATGCTAAATTCCAAAAATACTGAGGTATCATTGTTCACTCCTCACAGGCCAAGTTTCTTCAAATATCTGTCGGATGCCCATGGGAATGTAAAGGTTTTATTATGTCAAATCTTCTACAGGAGAAAAAAATATTTTTATCTTGGAAGTATATAATAATTGGGAATCATAGATAAACTGTTTCCATTTAAGAACCATTGGTACAAGTTCTATATTGTAGAGATTAGTCTTTGGTAGTCACCCTACCAGCATCTCCAAGAGACATACACCTCATTCCTCACAGAAAACTTTAAAACTTGACCTGGCATCTTTATTTCTGCTGACCCTAAAACACACAGAACATGTAGAGATCACCAAGAACCCATCAATACTTGTATTTTTTTCCTGTCCAGCTGCATCAGTAAGAAGATGCAACCAATTACATGCAACCAGGAATATACCATCGATATTTTTCACAATAGCTATGACTTCAATTGCAAATTGCTACAATGAATGGGTTGGGGCAGTGGTGGGATTCAAATATGTGAACAACCGGTTCTCTGTGTGGATGCCGCTTCCGGAAGTCCATTCTGGGCCTGGGCAACAAAAAATTAACTACCGGTTCTGCCGAAGTAGTGCGAACCAGCTGAATCCCACCACTGGATTGGGGGCTGAATTATAAACGTGTAAGAAGAAGCTAGGTAAAGGAAAAGCTAGGTATAAGGAAACCATATAGCTAAACCATATGATGAACGGTTGCAGGAATTAGGCATGTCTAGTCTAACTAAGAGAAGGACTATGGGTGACATGATAGCAGTATTCCAATATTTGAGTGGCTGTTACAGAGAAGAGGGGGTTGACCAAAGTACCTGAGAGCAGAACAAGAAGCAATGGGGTATAAGATTATTAAAGAGAGTTCCAACCTAGAACTAAGGAGAAATTTCCTGACAGAAGAGTTAATTAGTGGAACAGCTGTTTGTCCAAAATGGTATAGAGTCTTCTGCTGGAGCAGGGGATTGGACTAGAAGACCTCCACGGTCCCTTCCAACTCTGTTATTCAATATTATCTATTATAAGATGCTGAACCGCCTTTGAGGAAAGAGAGAGAGAGAGTGTGTATAATAGGTGATTTGAGACCAAACAGATTCAGAGCAGATTAGGAAATGGTCAATAGATATGCTTTTTTTAATCTTATGGAAGGAACATTTCCAAGCAATTACAAGTACTGACCCCTAGTGGATCGATGGGACTCCATTTCATTTTCTGCAGAAATCCCAACATCAATATTCTCTTACAGGGCTATGCTCTAATTTTGTGGCCCTCCTATCTGTCTCACCTTCTGACTGCCATACTACAAAGGGGAATTTCTTGAGCTAACAGCCCAATGAATCAAACTGCTAGAAGCGGAGAGACTGTGAGTGGCCTTAAACCCAGAAGGGGGATGAGTGACCCTGGGCTAGTCACTTTCTCTCAGCCCTGGAAGGAGGCAAGGGCAAACCACTTACAAAAAACGTTGCCAAGAAAACTATACACATTACTCCAGGCAGCATCAGGAGTCCAGAGTGCCCTGAAGGCACAAATTTAAACACACTTCAGCTGGTATTCCCATAATGCTAAATCCAAACTAGTCTGGGTTACACCTGTTGTACGAGCCCAGTTATTGCTGTTTGTAAATCATGAATTATAGTTTAGCATGTGCTGCCAGTTCAACCAACTGTGATCTACCGGTAGTCAAATCAGCAAACGCAGCCGCTCTGATTCTCTCAGCACCCCGGAGAGAAAGAGAGCGCAACCCTGAGCGCCAGGCTGTCCTACCCCTTTAAGAGAGCGTTTCTCTGCACGTAGCTCCCAGTCCAGCCCAGCCCAGCCCACCCGAGGCGGAAAAGCGAAGTGAATCTTCCGCGCTTCGGATTCTGGAGGGTCGCGTTAAAAAAAACCGACAACTTTAGTCTTGCTTCATTCTGCGAGGACCGTCGCGCTTGCAGGACCAGCTGGCCTCAGAGCGGGAGCGGCCATGGAGGAAGGTACGTCCCCCCACCCCACCCCACCCCACTTTCTGGGCTGGGGAGCATGGAACAGGATTGAGGGCAACTCCAGGATCCCCCCCCCAGTCATTGCGTCTCTTTCGGGGCTTCTGCTTTTGCCTCGGCTCCGGTTTTGTTCTTAAAAAGTACAGAAAGTATGTAAGACGCGCGATCCTGCCGCGCCTCCCACCTTAGAACAACTTGACCCGAAGGTACCTCGGGTTTTAGCCCTTATCTCAGGGGTTCTCAACCTTGGCCACTTTAAGACTTGTGGACTTCAACTCCCAGAATTCCTCAACCAGCAAAGCTGGCTGAGGAATTCTGGGAGTTGAAGTCCACAAGTCTTAAAGTTGCCAAGGTTGAGGAACCCCTGCCTTATCTGAATGGCGCTTTTCCTTCCCTGTTGACCGCTGCTCGGTGGAAACGCGGAAGGTTTGGGAGTAAAGAGTAAAGCAGAGAGAGCGGGCTTTGTGGAAAGGAGAAGCCCGGCGCTCTCGGGATCCGAGGGCAAGACTTGCCGCCCCTGTCGGACTGCAGAAAGCAGTTCCGACACCGGGGTGCGCGGACTTGTCGGACTTTCGTTTCCTCTGAATGTTTCCTACAGGCGGCAACGTGTACGAAGAGCCGCGGGGGGGCGGGGGGCCTCCTGAAGGACGCGAGATTGATGACGTGATGAATGGACCTGTCCGGAATGGGGCAGATGTGCAGGTAAGAAATGCCTCCCTTGCTCAATCATATCCGGGGTCTGGATGAGTTTGGCTCGCTCTTTACGTCGCCGCCCACCTCGCCGGCTGCGACTCTGGCTTCGGAAGCTAAGCGAGATGACCTCTAGTTGTAGGTTAGCCTGGGAAGTCATAAAAGCATCCCAGAATAAGGCAGTGGAAAATCACTTATACATTGTTGGGAGCAAAATCCACTCACAATATGGAACTGTCTTATGAAATCACTGTGTGGCCAACTTGGCTTAAGGCAGTGTTTCTCAACCTTGACAATTTTAAGGCATGTGGACTTCAACTCCCAGAATTCCACAGCCAGCATTGCTGGCTGTGGAATTCTGGGAGTTGAAGTCCACATGCCTTAAAATTGTCAAGGTTGAGAAACACTGGCTTAAGGGTATCTAACTTTTTAATAAATCTAAGGTCGCTTTCCCCAACTTGGCGCTTCTCAGAGATATGGGTTTTCAGCTTCCATCGGGTGCCAGACTCCAGGAGGTTATTCTGAGGAAATTGTCTTGTGTAGGGCAGAGGCCCCCCAACCTTTTGGACACCAGGGACTGGTTACGTGGAGAGAGGTTTTTCGTGGACCGGAGGGGGTGTGGTTTTGTCTGTTGTCAGCATCCTGTGGATGGGGCTTTCCCTTATTTGTGCGGACCGGTTGCTGGCATGCCGCAGCCCGATACTGGTCTACGGACCAGGGGCTGGGGACCCCTGCTGTAGGGTGTGTGTTTGTCTGTGTATTCTGTTTGTTGTAAATTGTTTAGAGAGTTTAAGCAACCTACTTTTTTGGAGGGGGAGAAGGGCTAACATGTAACAAGTGATTACCTTCTTCATTCTTATTCTTTCAGAACTAGTGCTGGAGAGATGGAGCCTGCCCAGTCTTACCGTGTGTATGTATGTATATATGTATGTATGTATGTATATATATGAAGTAATATTTTGCAGTATGGCTTTAAACCAGCTTTTCACCGCATAAATATGCAATTGTTTCATACAAGTTACAACCTTCTTCAATATCTTTCTCAGGGAAGTGTTTATTTTAGAGCTGGAATACTCTGTGGCATTTTCCCAAAGCTTAAGCTGCAGTATTTTGTCAAGGTGTTGGAAGCAATCTTTGCTACCTTGATATGTTTATGCCCTTGTAAGTGCTAGGGGGATATTTCATCCTTTGTTGTGACTTGCACTTTCATGCAAATTTGCTCTGAACATGATTGGATACAATCCTTGCATGTTTTTCCCCCCATTTTCACCATTTTTACAGAATGGTTATTTCTTGGATACAACATTTAAGTGCTGAAATGTATGACTTTGAAAGCAACAAAATGAGATAAAGCTACCAGCATCCATAGACATGTTAACATGTTACCTAAACAAACTTAAAAAAAACCCTGAGTTATTTCCAACCATTAAGAAACAAATGTATATAAATTAGACCTGATGATGAAATGCCATCTAAGGACTTTTAATCCTCTTAGATGAAAATTTCTCTCTGCAGCAATGCCATATGTATTCTTTCATAGAAATGATCAACATTTTTTAAAAATTGGATGCACAATAATGATTGGGTGAAGCCTCTCTTTAGCGTCCATGTGTGGAGAAGCCATCTGCATGTATTATAATCATACTAAAAGTTTTACCTATACATACATATGTACGTATGTGCTTGTGTATATGCTCCTCAACACTTAAACTACTTGCATTCATTGCATGTCTTCCCCAAAACAGCCTTACATTGGAGACTAGAACTCTTAAGAGTGTTACTGACCTTCTTGGCTATAATCCTAGCTTTTATTGCGGGTCTGAAATATGTCTGTCTGTGTGTGTATCTTAACCACTTCACAGAGCATTTTTCCCAACTCCTTAATGATGCTTCTGTCTTCAGCTGGAGGATTTTGTGGGGGCTCACGCAGAATACAATGAAGAAGAAGAAGAGCGAAAGTACTTCCGCCGTAAGCGTCTTGGAGTTGTCAAGAATCTTTTGGCAGCCAGCGTGGCAGGGATGCTGACCTATGGGGTTTTTCTAGGTAGGTATTGCAGGAGTTAACCATTCTCTCCTTCGGCCATAGAATTATTTATTTAATTTATTGTTAGACAAATTTACAAGGCTGTCTATCTACCAGAAGAATTATGGGTGGCAAACAAAAATAAAAGCATAACACAAATATCAAAATCAACTTAAACCAAACATACAGAGTCCAGCCCCTCTCCCCAAAGTCTCATACACGTAGATCACATACAAGCATGCCAGAGCTCCATTAACACCTTGGCCTCTGTATGGAGTAAAGCAGGGGTCCCCAACCCCCGGGCCGTGGACCGGTACCAGGCCGCGGCATGCCAGCAACCGGCCCGCACAAACAAGCAAAGACCCAACTGTGGGATGCAAGCAGCACATAAAACCACGCCCCCTCCGATCTGCGGAAAAACCTTTCTCCACGGAACCGGTCCCTGGTGCCCAAAAGGTTGGGGACCTCTGGAGTAAAGCCAATCTTTACTGCCTTCCCTTTTTCATTTTTTGGAGAGTTTTTAAATAATTAAAAAAAAAACCAAAGAGCATATAAATGAGAAAAAGAGAAGTGTTGAAAACAGTACAGATAAAGGAGAAGAGAAAAAGTTCAAGACCCATCTTCTGAACTTCTTTACAGAGATACAAATTTTTATCTTTCTCCCTCTTTAGGATGATATAATCCCCTTCTTCCATATTCAACCTTTTTAATCTGAAAATCCAGAAATCACTGGTTTATTTTTATCTGTTTTTAGCAAAAGTCCAATCTTTCATAAAGAGTGCTTGTTATTTTGTCCCTAGTCAAAAAGGTTTTCATTGCCTTCTGGAAGGTCAATAGGGTTAGGGCCTTCTGTACTGTGGGGGAGGGTGGAGGGTATTCGGTAAGGTAGCACCAGCTACATTTTGGCTCTGCTTCCTGGCCCCCACCAAGTAACACTGCTTCAACAAAGGAACCCAGTGTATGACCATTTTGTCCGATCTAATCTGCATGAGATTCTATTTGCAGAGTTTGCTATATACTTCTAAGTTAAACGGGAGATCTGCAGAGAATGAGTCTTGTGCCCCAAGTAAATTGTAGGGATGTTAGTTTAGACATTTACTTTTCCATTTTTTCAGAAATATAGAGCAATTGGGAAGCGTTATTGTCTAGAACTCATCTAGAGATGATGTGCAGGATCTGTCAAAATCCGCAACTGTTTTTTAAGCTACCAAGAATATATTCAGACAGATATGTTATGCTTTCATTCTATTGATTCTGTGTTACTCTGGAAAGATAGCTAAATCTCAGATGGGATAAGCTTCTTGTTAACAGGATGAAGTAGATTAGGATCCTGGAGAAACAAGGGTGGGGTTTTTTTCCCCCCGTCTTTTCTGAGCATCACTATAGTTCAGTTCCCACATCATGCAGAATCACAACTTGGCTTGCTTGGTTTGGGATCGATGTGCTGTGAAAACTCAGTCTTTGTGGTTTGTAAACCATAATTTGTGGCTTAATGCAATGGACGAACGCAATGCTGAAGATGGAAGCTTTCTGCAGCAGCCGAATGACAGACCAAGGACCAATCCTTGAGTTTCCGTGTTGTCTTCCACAGGTCTGCTTCAGATGCAGCTCATTTTGCATTATGATGAGACCTACCGGGAGGTGAAATATAGCAACCTTGGGCTACAGAATATTGATAGCAAAATGCTGCTGGGCATTAGCATCACACCCCTTGCTGCATTTCTCTATACTCCAATATTCATTAGGTAATGCTCTATACTGGATCAATGTTCTTTCTTCTTCACAGACTCTTTAAACCAGTGGTTCTCAACCTGTGGGTTGGGACCTCATTTGGGGTCGATCGACCATTTCACGGGGGTCGCCAAGCAAGGCTGTCCGCCATTTTTTCCCCTTTTCTGGCGGGTGCCTTACCTCCCTTGGGCTGGGCCAGCTGGTGGTCGGCCTGCTCCGTCTCTGCCGCTTGCCAGCTACGCCTCGGCTGGCGCAGGGGGCGGAACCATGCATGCACGGCGCTCCCGGGCAGGGAAAGTCCTTGACTTACGACCGGCTGGGTAGTCCTCGACTTACGACCGGTTTAGTCCTCGACTTACGACCGGTTGGGGTCGCGGCATTAAAAAGGTTGAGAACCACTGCTTTAAACTGCGGTTTTAGAGCTTTAAAAGCTCTAAAGCCACGCCTTCAGAACATCCAAAATCCAGGTCCCTTTCTTTATCTTTCCAGATTTTTTGGCACTAAGTGGATGCTATTCTTAGCAGTGGGCATCTATGCACTTTTTGTCTCCACTAATTACTGGGAGCGCTACTATACTTTGGTACCATCTGCGGTGGCAATTGGGGCTGCCATTGTACCTCTTTGGGTATCTCTGGGCAACTACATCCTCAGGTGAGCCAGTTGCAAAGATTGGGCTGGGAAGGAGAAAAAAAATGCTGAGCTACAAGACTGGCTTTATCATATTTATTAAACTCTCTGCCAGCTTGATAGGTATCAGTGCAGATTCACCCAGGTATTGAAGCTGTGGTGGTGGGGAAATGAATTGCCAACTCTTTGGATGCTTCTGCTTCGTGTAAGCAATGCATGGCTGCTCCATACGAAGAAGCAATATACAGTTTAGCTTAAGCTTTACAGCAGTCTCCTGGGAATGGGAAACCATGCTTTGTCCTGCCAGGCTAACCCATGACCTCTTTTCCTACACCTCTATTCCAATAGGATGGCACAGAAATACTATGAACATGTGAACTACAAGCTGGAACATGTCCAGGAGCAGAAACGGGCACCACGTGGTGCCTACAATTCCTACATCATTACCTTTGAGGCAGTCTTCTATGGCTTTTTCTTTGTGAGAACTCAACACAACCTAGTTGATTTGGGGGAGGAAGAGATGTTAGATAGTGCCTTATGCTGTCCTCCCTTGTCAGCTGGGACACGACAGCTCTATTGCTAACCCTCAACATTTCAGAAAGGTTCTTGGTGTGGCTTTTAATTTTCTCCCACCACTAATGAAATTGACCGCTCCTTCTGTTCTTCTTTTCCAGCTGAGCTTTGTTTATGCCGAGTTTCCTATGTTTTTCTTCTTGAAGAACTATCTCTTCGAGCTGAACCACACACTTTACGATGTCAAGAATTGTGGTGAGTAATATTAAGATGGCAGCTATGATTTGGCCAGGCTGTTACTGTACATAACTGGCTTTTCCCTTAAGAGGTGTTTATCATTTGCAATACCATCTCCTCTTCTTCTCCACCGCTTGTCCAACTGGGACCTCAAGTCAGTCCAAGATCTCTTTCTTTTCTAGGGACTGCAAGTCATGGGATCCTCATTGGGTTCAACAGCACAGTTCTCCAGAAATTGCCTCGCAGCAGTGAGCTCATTGTAGTGGAGAGCGTGCTGATGGGAGTAGCCTTCCTCTCCATGCTCATGGTATGTGCTGCAAATATTTATTTAATAGATTTATATGGCTACCCAACTTGCCCATGGTGACTCCAGTTGGTGTACAGCATTAAAAATCAATAATATTGGATGGGTAACTTTCTATTTTTAGATTGTGGAATTGTTGGCAAAAGTAATACCTTCTATAAGGCAGCCTCATTCCCATCTGGAATAGTCAAAAGTGTTGGTTGATGAACATGTTCCTCTTGGGAGTTCTTTTTTTTTTTCCAGGAAAATAAGTAGGATAGAGAAAAATTAGTTCTTACCCAGCTTCAAACACACTGTTTACAATCAGTTTAGGTAGAGCTTCTTTGACTTCCGTTTGCTTGCAGCTAGGGCTAGACAATGGAGTTAGCTAGCCTTTCTTCTGTTGGTTTCTGGGAGGCTTCTCCTGGACCGATCGGAGAGACCGCCGTCTCTCCTAGGTCCCTGGAAGTACCTTCCTTCATTGCCACCTCTCCGGGGCGGCTTCTGGCCCATTTAGGGTCCCCAAACAAGAAGAAACTCAGCTGAAGAGCTCGGCATCCCGAGTCTCTCAGCCGATGACGCTGCTGGCCGGAACAGGAAGTCTGATGAACATGTTCCTGTTTTGCATGGGTTAGCAACACATTTTGATCTCCAAGGCATTACATATCTGCAGGAGGATACATGTAAACGCGGATATCTAACTAATGGCTATGTTGGTGCATTATGACAAAAATAGCTTGGTTGTAAATTGTCCCCTAATATGTTAATATATTATATATTACAGCTGTAAAGCTTAGCAGAAATAATCTATTTTTCTATTTTGCTTCTAAAAAGATGGAATTAAACCTGAGGATAGGTCTGCCATTGAAAATGCTAACCCCTTTTGGATTCGTTCATTCTGTAATCTCTAATATTTAGGCAAATGAGCGACATATTGAAATAAATGTATTTCCCTGATCCAAAGAATTTGCTTTCACTGATATGGGGAAAGTGGGAGAAAGTCGAGAGGCCTACTTCTTCCCTGTCCTTGTCATCCCCCAATGGCCTTGTTTCCACAGGTGTTGCTTCTTTGTGGCTCTGCTTATCGCCCCACGGAGGAGATTGATCTGCGTAGCATTGGATGGGGCAACATCTTCCAGCTGCCTTTCAAGCACATGCGAGATTACCGCCTGCGCTACCTCCTCCTCTTCTTCATCTACAGTGGCTTTGAAGTGCTCTTCTTTTGCACCGACTTTACTTTGGTACGTGTAAACTTCTCAGATAGGAGGGACTGAGTGCACAATGACATCTGTAAGCTAATGCTTTCTTTCCTCATCTGTTACAGAACTATGGTGTCTGTTGTATTGGCCTGGAACACATGGCTTATATTCTCACTGCTTATGGAATTGCATCTGCTGTTGGCTCTACTCTGGTACTAACTATGCTGAGGCTGCCTCGTCAAGTTCCCCTGCTTACTGGAGCTTTTATTCACGCCATCCTCCTGATTGCCCTCTTCTGCTGGGAGCCTCAAGCCAAAAATTTAGCTGAAGCACCCGTAATCTACCTGGTGGCTGCTTTCTGGGGCCTTGGCAGTGCCCTCAACAAGACAGGACTCAGCAGTGAGTAAATAATGTTTTACTTTGTGTCACAGGTTCCTCTCCTGGAACAAACAGATCTTTGCTCCTGTTCTGCTCCAGACCAAATGTCTAGCCATGGTACTTGTTGGACTCTCTGTGTAGCAGGAAGTACATCAAGCCAAGCTGAATAATAAAAGTAATTTCCTTGGATGACGTACTACATGATGATTAGTTGAAAATTGCTTAAAAAGCGTAACATTACGTTTTTGAACTGTTTCTTACCTGAACATCTTCACTCTTCACTAACCAAGATGGTTTCTTTATCAATGGTTTGCACCTTGGGGTGCTTTCTTGTTAGCCAGGTTTTCCCCCCATTCTCCATAACTTTCCAGCCAACTAGTGTTGGATTACTGATGGGAGTAAAACAAAAAGAGAGAGAGAAAAAAATCAACCTCACAATTCTGTTGATGCACCGCTCCTTTCCTGCAGCACTTCTGGGGATGCTTTATGAAGACAAAGAACGGCAGGACTTCATCTTCACCATCTACCATTGGTGGCAAGCCTGCGCCATGTTTGTTGTTTATTGCTGGTCTAATCTGCCCATGAAGGTGAGTGAGGGAGCCATGCACAAAAGAGAATTCTCTAGGTCAAAGGATAGAACACATTCTTTTATTCTTTGGTAAAATGCAGATAAGATATAAAGTGGGAAAGGAGGAGAATTTCTCTGGTCTAGTGTGAGCCTCACCTGGGAAGAGTGAAGTAATGAAGGAACCATTAAGGCAGAGGTGTCAAACTCGCTACGTCACGTGACGTGTCGCAACGCATCGTGACTTTTTTCCCATTGCCGGCAATAGGGTGGGCGCAGTTTCGGCACGATGCATCCGGCCCACGGGCCGGTAGTTTGACACCCCTGCCTTAAGGCACAACTGACAGAAAAGATTACTCTGCCTGAGAAAAAGAAAGGCATTAAAAAGAAACCCAACCTTGCCTTGATTGTGTTTGCATCCCTTCACACTTGGCAATAAAAAAGAAAAACTCTTAGGCAAGATACTTTGTGCAGCTTTGAACCTTCCCTTGCTGACTTCCTCCTATACAAGGTTCAGGACAAAATAAAGGATCACCTGAATTTTGCTATTCTGTAACTAATAGAGGCTTTTCCTTCCAGGCTAAATTATCCATCCTGCTTGTTACTTTGGTTGCTGCGGTGTTCTCCTATATATGGATGGAACGTAAGATAGCCCAGAGTGTTCCCCACCGTCTCCCTAAGATTCCCAAGCCTCGCCACAAAGTGCGAGGTTACCGCTACCTGGAGGACAACTCTGATGCAACTGATTCAGAGGAAGAAGAGGAAGAGGACGAGCAGCGGGAGGAGGAAGCAGAAGCCAATGAACCTGATGGCCCACCACACTGCCCTCGGCGGAGGAGACAACATGCCTATGGGGAGACCTTTGGGGAAGAAGTTGGAGATAACAGGGGGTAGTTCCTGCTTTGCTTTCACTATGACCCTTACAATATGGGCCAAGATTATGAATCTCAAGTGCCTTAGATTTCAGCTTCCCCCTACATCACTAACGTTTTCTTCTTGGGGTTGTTCCTGTAACGTTTTAACTTGGCCATGGAAAGACTGTGTAAATTAGGTCCTTGGGTTGCTTTTCAAGTTTAGTAAATCTGGGTCCATGTTTTAGTTTGAAGAATGGGTCATTTGAGTGCTTCGGAGCATGGTTGTGTCCTTGCAGATGTTTCATTATCCAAATTCAATAATATGATCAGTGTGGTAGGGAGTGAGGTTTGCTTTCATTTTTATATTCTAGTGGCTTGCTCTGTCAGTGTTGGTGGGAGTGGGGTTTGCTAGGTCATTTAAAATAGGTCATTTGTAATAAGTCGATTTTAGGACTCCGCCCTGCTTTGTCCTCACTCTCTAATAGTCGAAGTTACTAGGTACTCAAGTGCAAATTTCCTTGAAACAGCCTTCATGGATTGTGAAAGATAGGTATTTTCAAAAGTTACTTATGAGATAACCCTTGGGAAGCAGGGAAGGAAAGAGGGGTATACTGATACTTAACAGGTAAGTTATGAGATAGCTCTTTGGAAGCAAAGAAAGGGAGACAGCTATATTGACCTTCCTTATAATTTAGATATACAATGATATATACAAAAATACTTTAAATCCATTTCTAAGGTGACTATGTCCATACGTTTACAATAAATAACAAGCTAGAAATGTCAAGAAAACTATTTAATATTTGCATTTAATCCTTGCAATTTAGTACTATTGTAGATGGCATTTTAAAGCATAGGTGTCCAACCTTTTGCCTTGCCTGAGCCACAGTGAGTAAAGAGGAATTGTCATGGGCCATATATCAAATTTATAATATTGTTAATGTATATAAATACCGAATTTCCTTTATTTTTTATTATATCTTATGGGGCCACATTACTAGCTGACCAGGGCCACATGTGGGCCATGGGTTGGACACACCTGCTTTAAAGTGTCTCTGTGATGATAAAGAAGAGAGACAACTGATAAGTAACTATCACTGATATCTCAACATACCTTTCTGCAATAGTTTTGAATGTGATCAAAAGATACTATCTAGAAATTTGGGAAAAGGGATTTAACTACATACATAGGCTAAAACAGATGCTTTTCCGTATTGTATATCACCAGATTCACCACATTGATGTTACCTGAAGACTCTGATGATACCAATCATCAGTGTTGATTGATGACATTGTCTCAGAAGAAAAGGCTGTATTTTTAGAGTAGGGCTTTTCAACCTTTTCAGATTGTACCACTTTTAGGACATGACAATATTTGAGTACCACCAGTGCTTAGCAACTTGATGACTTAAAAAAGGGGGGGATTTGGGGCTTTACTGGTTACATTCATTTGTTGTTATAGAAATGACTAGTTTATAATATTATGGACAATGCTTTTTCTTTTCTTTTTCCCTTCTCCCCCTCACTTTTCCCTTTTTCTCTCACCCTTTGCTCGCAATCTCCTCACCCTTTGCTAACAAAAGCCTCTCGCTTGCTCTCATTCACACACACATTGCTCGCACAAGCTTCTCCTTTGCTCTCATTCACTCACACGTTGTTCGCAAAAGCCCCTCGCTCGCTTTCACTCACCCTTCGCTAGCAAAGGCCGGTCTCTCTCTCTCTCCTCACCGCTTCACTAACAAAAGCCTCTTCTCATCACTCTTTCTCCGTGTGTGTTTTTTTCTCTCCCGCCAAAACCTGCTCCTTTTATGCCTCTCTCTGCCTCCTCTTCCTCTTTTTATGCCTCTCTCTGCCTCCTCTTCCTCCTTTTCTCTTCTGGGTGTGCCAGAAGCTCCAATCAGCATGCAGCCGTGCGCGCAGATCCTGGGGCTTCTGCCGAGCCCTGCAGCTCCAGCTGGTCTCCTCCAGGTCTGTGCGGCACAGCTTTAGCTGGTTCCCTCCCCTGCTACACTTGGCTAGGGGTCGCGTACCACCTGCCAGGTGCTAAAGTACCACCGGTGGTACACGTACCACTGGTTGAAAAGCTCTGTTTTAGTGTCCTCATTTAAGGACTCTAATTTCCATCACTAAGCAAAGCAGTCATTAGGCAAAACATCACAGGACTACACACCTTAGCAACAACAGTTCTGGTAGTCCTGGTTACAGTCATAGACAAGCATCTCACACTACTCCTGATCTGTTGTGGTCATCTGGTTTCAACTTCCCCCACCCACTACCTCCTCCCCATCTCTATCAGCCCCAGCTGACCTTGACCATTTTCCTCCTGCTCTTGATGAAGCAGTTACTGACCCTTTGCAAGGCCTTTATGAGCCTCTGTGATACCTTGCCAGTAGCTACCTTGGCTGTGCCTACCTCATTCAGGGAGAAGAAGATAGCAAAAGTCAGCTGGGGGTAGTGGGGAGATGGCAGGGATAGGTGGCAGTGGCAGAGGGCAGGGTGGTCAAAAAGGCCAGAGATTGGGAAGGAATATCCAGTTGAGAATTCAATCATATGCAATGGTTGTAAATGCAGCAGGCTGCCAAGCACTCAAATTTTGAGCACATGACTGCAGGGGCACTGCAAAAGATGTAGCATTGGGAGCCAATGGTAACTATCATTTGTTCAGCACCACTGTAACTTTAGTCACTAAACAAATGATCATAAAGCAAAGACTATCTGTAAAGGTTTCCTTTCCCTAGTGAAAAGTATGACTGAGCAGATCTTTTTTTAATACCTTGTAGAGCCAAAATCAAGAGAATTTAGAACTAGGATCTTGTCTCTAAAGTCATTATCATCTCCCCCAACCCCCAAAAAGATATAACATGAAATACATGTAAAAAATGTATATGTATATATATGTAAAAACTCAAGAATCTCAGGATACCAAGGAATACTTAATTATTGCAACAAAAATATTGAACAATACTTAGCATTTTATTTTTTATAATAAATTTTATGGTATTTTGAATAAAGGCTATGCTGAATCAAAGATGATGGAGTCTGTCTGTAATGGTGTACTAGTTCATTGCCAGAGGCTTAGCTTCTCTGACATCCAGTGTTTATCCAGTAAAACCATATAGTAATTTATGCTGGGGAGGTTGTATCCACACTAGAGAAAGCAGAATAGCTTTTGTTGGTTTGGTATATTTTTTGGAAGTATTTTCTATTAGCACCATTTCTAGGTTATGAGTGAAATTCCAAGTGTCTGATGCTAGAGAGTTGTTCTTTTTCTATGGACATTCCAAAATATTTTGTCCACAACAGAAAGCAATGCCTTCTGCATACAGAGAAGGCCATTACTGTCACATCTGTGCAAATCCTTTTTGGTCAAAATCAGTCCCATTACTCCAGGGCTTTTCACCCTTTTCACCCATTGTACCACTTTTAGAATATGGCAATATCCGAGTACCACCAGTTGCCTAGCAAGGTGTCAAAAACTTGATGACAAAAAAAAAAAAGGAAAAAAATGTCCTCGACTTACAACAGTTCGCTTAGTGACTGTTTGAAGTTACAATGGCACTGAAAAAAGTGCCCCCCAAGGCACAACCAAGAAAGACACCTGCCTGCCCATCCGGCGGCGCTCTTCCTCCTGTCTGAGGTTTTCATTGTTGTGAGCATTTCTGTTGAGGATTGGCAGCGGGGGTGGAGTGGGGGGATGTTTGGTTTCTATTCCCCCTGTCTGCTCGGTGGTTGCAGCAGGTTTTGGTCACTTCACATGATCCTGAGACACTGTGACCGTCATAAATATGAATCAATTGCCAAGCATCTGAATGTAAATCACAAGACCCTGGAGATGCTGCAAATTCCAGCTGATCGGCACGTCTTCTGGGCTCAGCAGAAGTGCAAGGATCAGCGCTGAGCTCCAGCTGGAGCCTGGCACTGATCCTGGCGCTTCCACTGAGCCCTGACAGTCCCGAAGAAGTGCTGATCCTGGCACTTCTGCTGAGCCCTTACAGCCCTGCAGCTCCAGCCATCTCTCGCTCAGGCTTGTGCAGTGCTATCACTGGTTCAGCTCATTCCCCTCCCCTGCTACCACTTTTCTAGGATGGTCACGTACCACCTGCCAGGTGCCAATGTACCACAGGTGGTACCCGTACCACTGGTTGAAAAGCCCTGCATTAGTCCACTAATAATCATTGCTGGTATCTGTAAAGCAGAATCTATTGCGCTGGTCATCTTTAACTGGGCGAAATGGTACATTATACAGCAACAGTTTTTTAACCAAGTACTTGAGACTGATTAATTTACAGAGTACATCCAGAATCTGGGATCCATGACTCTTGTGGATCTGAAATTTGCCAAATGTTATAAAATTATCATAAAACATATTATGACATAATACAAAATGTCATAAAACACTTTCTGTGGTCAACTGATGTTTGACTGTGCTATACAGTTCAACATGGGCTACTTTCAGGGCAGAGATCTCTGAATATCTCCTGGAATTTTAAAGAAGTTTTTAAAGAACTTTTCAAGTACATTAGAAGCTCTACCAAAGTTGAAGGCATTGAAGAATCTGGTAAGAAAATATCTCTGAAATTATAACCCAACAGGTCACAGGTCATCTATTCACAACTAAAAAACAGTCTCTATACATAGCAGAAAGATTAATTAGAGACACATCATAAGAATGCTGGGAAATTAATATAAGACTGTACACTAATTATAACAAGCCATGTGGGGATAAAATCCTGACACATAGAAATGTTACCTCGTGGTATAGCAATATTTTCTAAAGCCTTACCACACTCTGTTAACAGTAAATGCTCAAAAACAATATTTGCATTTTCAATATGCCTAGGTTAGAAAATATACTTCCTTTCTCAGTAGATAAAAAGGGAACTTTTTTTAAAAAAAGGTCATATTAAAAGACAATACATCCCTGAAAATAATTATTTACTTAATTTTTTTATCTCACCTTTATGACTTTATGAGAAACTCAAGGCAGTGAACATACTCCTTCCTCCTGGTATTTTCTCCACAACAGCACTATAAGGTGGATTGGGCGGAGAAAGTGACTGGTTTAATTAATCCATGTCATATTACAACAAACTCCAGATGTAAATAAAACTCTTTTTTTAACTGAATAAATGATGCTTTAATTCAATCAATGGATTAGGGAACTTTCCAAATTTAATTGGCAATGGAGCATTGTACATAGAAATACTTTTAAAGGGGATACTATTTTGCACTATAAACGACAAACATTTCCCACATAGTCAGGCAACTTTAGATTGGGATCTCCTTTTTGAAACGTTTCCA